TAGAGCACTCATCAAAGGGACACTTCGCCTTTTGTCAGTTCCTTCAGCGATCAGTTGCTGATATCTTCACAAAGGCTCCCAATCTCCATGATTTGTGTAATTGTATAATTAGAGCATGATTTGTGTAATTAGTATTAGTTACTTACCTTTTGTGCTTGCCTCCTTCACTTATAAAAGGATGGCTCTTGTATAGTATTATTTATCATAGAATACAGAAGTTATTTACAATTCTTCCTCTATTCTCTTAGTTTCAATAGTAACAGAGAGAAATAATTGAAAGAAAGAAAGCCATATAATAACTCACCTTTTACACTAATGGTCATGTCCAAGGCTTATGAAATACGCCTTCTTGGTTTCCATTTTGTATTTAGAAAATTTAGAATACTTACTCCTCAAGAAATTCTCCATTTCCAGTAAAGTCATCACAATTTTCCCCTTCAACTACAAGGGATCAAGTGAGATTTTGATTGGTGATGGTACCTACTTACCGATATCTTATATTGGCTTCTCTTTACTCAGAGGCAGATTTAGACCCCACTGCCTCCACAATAAGTTTCAAATATGTTATTTTGCCTAGGTTTTTTCAAGATTTTCAAAAAAGTCTTTATAATTTTCAAATTTTGCCACGCAATTTAAATTTTATAAAATTTGCCCCACAATTATTTTCTTCTAGCTCTGTCCCTGTCTTCACTTATCATGTCTCCAAACAAACACTCATGCATCAGCTGAAAAGCCTCTCTAGTATACAAGTCATATTTTAAAATCAACATGATCTTCTTGATCAACCGTAACAAAAAATAATTAGCTTTCTGTCTACATCTACTCTAGATCTAAGTATTCTACTTAATTGTCCAATTTTTCATGTAATTCATTTTTTTTCCTTTCCTATTTCTACTTGTACGAACCCTAATATACTTTAATTGATTTACTTGGATATTTGGGGTTCTTCAATTAAATCCTTAAATGGTTACAAGTATTATGTTATTTTTTGTCTATAATTTTACCAAATATATTTGGCTATACACCCCCACCAGTTCTAACCAAGATTTTAAAGATGTTAATTATCCATGATGTTTTGTAATTATATCAGTTCAGAAAGTGAAAAAAAATATTATTTAGGGACTGATATTGTTGAATTTACCTACCGTGGTAGTCACTTGTGATCCATTAACAATTGTCCTGCAAAAAGAAAGGCTGGGCACACCTCTATTCAAGTCCCTCTCGAGCGTGGAATCAATCATTACTTTTCTTTCAAGAAGAGAGTATAAGAATAACAAATGTGCTATACTAGTGTAATGATAATGTTCATGGTTCAATTTTTTTTTCTACCTTGGATGGGGTTTCATTTATGTTGGAGGAAATGCATGTCGATGTGTCAAAAAAGTTATGCACACGAGATGTGTCCTACAATTTTCGTAATGCTTGAAAAAATCATGGGAATGTTAAGATCATACGAGTCATTTGGATTTTATAGCGATGGATGAGGTTATTTGCTCAATGACTTATATGATTGATTGCTTGGTAATATTGTGATTAATTATTGGTGTCTTCTATCAGGGACGGGATTCAGGACTTCGACTCATCGTTGACCGTTGACAGTCAAAGGCCGTATAACAATGTCGTTCATTAACATTAAATTAAATAATATTAAAAATTCTTCGATCTATATGTAAATACTTTAAAATGTAAAAAAAATTATAGATTTATATCAAATTATAATTCAATACAATTCAAAATAATATAAAATACATGATATATGAGACTTCTTTGTATTATCAATGTTTAAGAAATTGTATTTGCTTGACTAAAAGCAATGGCGAGATTAGATGCACCACTAGAAGAACTAGGTTGGTACTTTTGTTTCAATTGAAAAATCATTTCATGATTATTATTAGAGTTGAACGTTAAACAAGGATAATTAAAATTCATTTTAAAATATAATTAAAGTTTCAATTTCCAATTCCCAACACCAATTTATCACAAGTTATAAATTCTCCAATTTCTCATTTTCAATTTTTATAAATCACATATTAACATTTCACAATATTCAAATTAATTTTTAATATCACAATTCACAGTTAACATATTCTCAAATAACATATAAATCAAAACTCAAAACTCATAATTCATATCTCATCAATTATTAAAGTATAAAATACTTAAAACAACAAAAACCAACAAAAAAAAAAAAAATAGGCACTGACTTACCAAAAGTCTCGCCGGCAGAATTGAAGGTGGAGGGGCCAAAGGGCAAGTGGTCATTGCCGATGCAAGCTGGTGCAGTGGCCAAGGGAGGCGCGTCAGGATTGGAGAAGTGGCTGAGCATAGAGGTGGGGGATTGTTTTGATTTTTTTGTGGTTTTTGTAATATGTAGGGTGTGTTTGAGCCTCATTCCTTTTTAATAATGTATTTTGGAATAGTATTTTAGGGGAAATTTTTTTTTGCGTGTAATATGATTTCAATGAAGAATTTGTGGTTGAAAAAAAAAGATGAAAATGTATTTTAGGAAAAAATGATATTCAAACACCCTCGTAATTGTATAATTTATATAGTTTTTTTTTTGTTTTTTTTTGTGTGTGGATATTACAGGGATCAAGAGATTTGGAGATCTCAGTTCATAAATTATAGGTCATGTTTCTTTTTTCAAAATCAGAATTTCTATAATTAATTAATATATTAAAATAAATATTTTTTCTACATATAACAACTCAAAAATTAATTAAATTATCGTACACAATTTCAATCCCAAATCCTAATTATTTCTCTCCCTTCTCTCTCTCTCTCTCTAAACTTCCTACCTTCTCTTTAACCTCTCGCCTGCGATGAGGGTTGCACATGGTGGCGAGCATGCGATGAGAGGCCATGAAGTGTTGGTAGCATGAAGTGACGATGACGTTGTAGTTGGAAGCACGCTATGGCAGCGGCGCTTTCTAACGGATAGGCAGTGTTGGTAGCATGAAGCGACAATGAGATCTGGTTGGTAGCATGAAGCAACAACGGCAATCTGGTTGGTAGCAGGAAGTGATAACAACGATTTTGATGGTAACATGTAGCGGCAACGACGATCTTGAGGGCCTACACGATGGGGTAGTGCTGCATCTTGCGTTGGTAGCATGCAGCGACGTTTTTCCACTATGTTTCTTTATTTGCGCGAGATCTATGTTTCTTTGTTAGCGTGTGATATGTTTCGCAGTTGAATCGTTGGTTACATAGGTGGTGGTCGTGTTGATGGGTTTATCTTTGAGGATTTTATTTTTTTTGGGTGAGGATTGTGGTTTTGGTGTGGTAGAGACTAAAGGTTTGTTTGTGGTGGTGGCGGGGCTGAATCGCTGGTGGTGGTGGTGAGAAGGTGATGGTATTGGCGATAGTGGTGTTGTCGTGATGGTGAAGTGCCCAGTGCTGGTTGTGACCAATTATTTTTGTCATCGTCACTGCCGTTGCGGTGGCTGTAAAGTAGTGATGATTTTTGCTAGTAGGTGTTGATTTGTTTGAGATGATTGTATTGTTGTCATGAGGTGGCGGGTGGTGCTAATGAATGTAATGGTGAGGTGGTGGTTACAAATTATTTAGTTGATTGTAATTAATAAATTGGTTAATGTGTGACCAATGAAAATATATAATTTGTGACCTAAAAGGTTGTTATTTTGTGATTAATAATCTGATAATTTGTGATTGCGTAATAAGTTGTGATTTATAAAATTTGTGACCCGTGACCTACAAATAAATAGTGACCTATAAATTTTTTATTTGTAATCGATAAATAAACTGTGAATTATAAAATTTTTAACTTGTGACCCATAAAAAATTTTATTTGTGGACAAGAAATAAGTTATGACTAATTAATTTGATAATTTGTAATCAAATTATATATAAATGTAACCTTAATATATTTAATTAATAAAATATAAATTTAATTATTCATTTCATAAATAAATTTAACTAATATCTGATTTTTAAAATTTTAAACTTCATTTTTTAGTCCTTGTTTGAGCCCCATTCTTTCAAAAATTTATTTTTTCAAAACTCATTTTCAACCACACATTCTGCAATAAAAATAATATTACATGCAAACCTTTTTTTTTTAATCACACATTCTCCATCAATCACTATTTAAAAATGCATCATTTCAGTTAAAATGGGGCTCAAACAAGGGCTTAATTTTGAAATTGGTCATACGTAATATCTTGCATATGAAATTTTTCCTTTTTTTTTTTAAACTACAAGTCCAAATCCAAATGAAAACTGAAAAGCCCAATATTTAAAAAAAAAAAAAATGACCCAACAAAATTATAAAAGGCCAACGTTTTACCTTCTCCCTCTCTTGCTTGGCTTCCCGTTGTGACTCCTCTTTCAACATCGTCCATGGCGTCGACAACATTATAGACTTTATTCAAAATTTAACTCCGGTGGAAGATGACTATGTGGGTCGAGGTATTGGGGATAACTTTCTTCCACTTCTTGTTGATTGCCCTATCTCGATGGATTTGCACAAGAATCGATGGATGATCGATTGTCTACATTATGCCTACTTCATGGTACGCGCAAGTACTTCAATCTTGTTTGTGTTAGGGACAATACTTTCAACTTAGTCATGATCGGAATCCAATTGCAATATTTTTGACCCTCCCATTTCATGTCTTGTCCAATAATACGAATGACGAGGCAAAGAGTAAAAAATAAAATAAAGGAAGCATAATAAAAATGATAATGTTTGGGCAGTTCACAACACAAATTAATTAGAGAGCCCAAAGGGTCCCTGTGAACTTAGAAAAAGGCTCCAATTTGGTCAATCAATTATAAAATTTGTTTCGAGAAAAGAATCAATTTTTTTTTTTTGAAAAAAAAATTTAATTAATTTTTTTAATTTTAAATTTAGTTTTCTATATATATATTTTTTTATTATTTATTTATTATTATTATTATTATTATTTTTTTTTTACATGAAAGCGAACACACGTCGAAAGAAGAGAGAATCAGATTATCGTAATTTTTGTTCTATTATAAACATAAATGTCGATTGATACGCACACAAAAATAGAAATCAACAGAGAGAACGCTGTGATCGAGATCTCTCCAATCTTACAATCCCTTCCTCCACACACTGAATCCACCGTTTGTCTCTCTCTCGAACTCCTCACACTATTTTTCCTCTAAGGTTTCGTTCGAGGTTCATTTTCCTTATTGATTTTTATCACTCGGGCACTGTTCCCCCCTTTTTTTCCCTAAAAATTGATGAATTTGATTTTTGTTTCTTTGTTATGCAGGATGTTTCCGGATGTTTCTGTTGCAAATTTTGGGCATCCTCATTCAGGGACAGTGAAAAACACGTTATGTTATTCTAGTGAAATCTTGTTATTTTTGTGAATACTGTTTCTGTATAGGAAAAGATAAACCGGTTAGTGGATATGGGGAATAAATTGGGGAGTAGGAGACAAGTGGTGGATGAGAAGTACACTAGGCCTCAAGGGTTGTATCAGCACAAAGATGTGGACCACAAGAAGCTTAGGAAGCTCATTCTGGACTCCAAGCTGGCACCTTGTTACCCTGGCGATGATGAATGTGGCAGTGATCTTGAAGAATGTCCTATTTGCTTCTTGGTCCGTTTTTCTGTCTCAGCCTTCAAGTTCCTACTTTTCCAACCTTTACTATGTAGTTGACATAATTTTCTTGTCTAAATTTAAAAGTTGGTTCCTGAAAAAACCTGTCGATATATGTGCTTAGTTATGTATTCTTTTTGGAATGGTTTTAATAGGCACTTATGGGTTTCTGACTTATTCAGGAATGGAAAAGGAAACTCTCATGGCGAATTAGTTAAGTATCTGGAAAGAGAATAAAACTGAACTGTATTTCGAAATTATGGTTAGGCTTCTAATTATGCTAAAGAGAAATTGGAATGTGTTTTTACTTTTGCTTGTATTTCGGAGTGGAATATTAATTGAATTACGTTTGTTCAGCTTTTCACTTGTATCATACTTGATGGTTGGCTCGGTTCATCTGTTTTTCACAGTAGGAAAAGGAAAATTATGAGATAGGAACGGAGAATTTTGAAATTTCACAACACGTAATGTATAAGTTTTTAACCTGTTGACACCCTTGGAATATTTTCTTTTGTTCAAACCCTTTCAATATTTTTATCATTCTGGATGTTTTCAGTATTATCCAAGTCTCAATCGGTCGAGATGTTGCATGAAAGGCATTTGTACAGGTATATGGTCAGTGGATTTAGTATTTGTATTTAGTTATAAATATGTAGTCATTCTAAATAATGAAAGCCTTGAACATTTTGGTTCAAATGATTAGGTTTGTCTTCTTTGTTTCCATCGCAGAATGCTTTTTGCAGATGAAGACACCTAATTCTACCCGGCCAACCCAGTATCCTTGATTTTTATCAGTTTGCTTTATGCATTGTTTTGATCAAAAAGTTTGTTTGTTTGTGTCTTTTTTATATGAAATCCTTCTAAGTAGAAGTTGTTAGGCTCGTACCCAAACTTATACAAATTGGGAGGCATAAAGCCTATCTCAAGAGTTACATCAAGAGGAGAAATAAAAAGTTTGCAAGATGGTTATGTATCTATGATGCTCAAACTCTTAAAAAATGGAGAAGCATCCGTGTCGACATGACATGACACGGATACTGACACGGATCAAATCCTTGGTTGTGCAATGGGACACGGCAGCAAAAGGGCAAAGGCGGCGGACGGTGGAGCATGTGGTTGTGCACTCGGACACGGGATGCTTCTGGCTTACGTTTGTGGCAGCAACAAACTCATTCATTTTGAGCATTGTGATAGTAATATTCAGAAATTTATGGACGGGATCATGATAGGCAGCAACATCTGCAAAAATTTTCTGAAGAAGGGAAAGACAAAACAGAAGATGAGAACTTGGAGAAGACAATAGGTTTTGGAGAAAGACTTAAATGGGCTTTTGTGAAGCCCAAAGAATAGAGTTAATGAAATTAGGAAATTTGGTGGTTTCAAAGTCTATTAATTGATACATGCTGCTTAGGTGGTTTCATACATTAACAATTCTAATTGGGAAGCAAAATTTCTGTGATTAAATGGTCTAGGAATCAAGCAAAATTCTTTTAACGTTTTAGTTTCCACTTTCAAAATTGGTGAATAAATGGTCCATGAATCAATTGGAATTAATTTCCTTTTCCAAAATTGGGAAGCAAAATTCCTTTTCTAATTACTCTCGCAATTGTAATCAGACGTTTTAGCTTCCCTTTTCAAAAATTGCACCAGAAAATTATTCCTTACATAAACGACAGATTTATCTTATTTTGAATTGTGTTTTGTTTGAATTTGGATTTTATCATTATATGAAACATTTGTATTGTGGTAATTTACTATTTTGCTTTAATATTGTGGTTATTTGATTTAATTAAATCGTTTTTCTCTTTGTTATTTTGGTATTATTCTGTCATTAAAAATAAAAAATAAAAAAAATAAAAAATAATTTGTAATACGTATCTCTGTACCCGTATCCAAAATTTAGATCCTTTTTAACCGTATCTCCATATCTTAATTTTTAAAATAAGATGGATCCGATTCCTAGAAACTTACTTGAATCTGACACCCGCACCCGAGTTCAAGTATCAGTGTATGTGTGTGTTTCTTTGGTTGTTTTCATCTATATTCTGTTTGCCTTGCTTTTGGGTTTGTGCTATCCTTAACCATCAAAGATGTCCCTTCTGTAAAACCTCAAATTACGCTGTGGAGTATCAAGGTGTTAAGACAAAGGAGGAGAAAGGTTTGGAGCAAATTGTAAGGCTTATCGCTCTTGTTAGCTCATTTAATTTCATTTTTTGAGGTTTCAGATGGCAGTCTGGCTGCAATGCAATTTGTTCTCATAACTTAAGCTTATAGGAAGAACAACGACTTATAGAAGCCCAAATAAGGATGAGGCAGCAAGAAATTCAGGATGAAGAGGAAAGGATGCTGAAACGAAAAGAACTCAGATCCTCCAGCAGTATCAGAGAACCAAATGAAGTTGATTATTGCTCCAACCCAGGTATCAGATATGAGCCTCAGTTTCCCACTGTAGGTTACTTGCTTTGAATATGAGCACTTTTCTTATTTTGTTTTCCATCTGCAGCCCAATCGTTTAGTTCTGCTGTAGAAGGCGAGGAAATTGTTATCTCTCAGGAATTATGTGCTGCTCCAGCAATAAGACCATCTCCACGCCCGAGGCAAACTAGGTAGACAATTTTCTTTGCTTTGTAGTTCTGTATATGCTTACTTTACTGATATCATTTTACCACTTGATTCATTTACCTTTCTTCGTGTGGAATTGTAGTTGAAACAATGATGTTTTGGTTTTAGACAACTGGCTGAGTCATAAAAGTTCCAAAAGTGAATTGTATAGAAATTCTTTATCCTTTTAATTGTTCTTAAAAAACATTTTGCTACGAAGAAACTATCTGGTTTTTGTAGTAGCTTTCCTAGAATTGTTACAGCTGATTCTTGTACATTATTCTTACATGCTAATTGTGAAATAGTTGAATCAACTGTAACAGCAAGGTTGAAGTCAAACAGTGAAGTAGTCAAGTTTGCCGGTATCAGTTGTGAATATGTTGTTTTATTATTTTTGTTCGTTTGCTAACCTTAACCACATGTATATTGAGGTAGGGCTGAGTCAGATTTGGGTTGAAATATGTGTTATATCGAACAATGGATTGGATCAGATCTGGGTTGGTCCAACCCGTCAACCCACTATGCTATTGTTAATGTTGATTCTGATTCGTTTTTACATACAGAGTTCATTTCTATTCGTCAACTGAGAAAGGGAAGTTCATAACCAAACTGAAGAAGTTCTAGAGAAAATCTCATGTTTGTAGCCTGAATGATGTTTGAACATTTCATCAGATTAGTTCACATTTCATATATGCAAGAACTATTGTCATATTATGATGCGTGTTTTGTTTAAAAGGAATTGAATCACTGGTGAAACTTATCAATAGGTAGTTGGCTGGACTGTGACATCAAATTCAAAATTCACCTTTTCTCTTTGATCTTTCCTTTGTCAATGGGAATAGCAACCATGCCAGTTATTTCTAATCTAGACTAATAAATCATTCTATGAATCTTTTGTTCCAATTTTCCACTCCCAGGTGAGGGATTCAGATGTTAAGTACTTATTTAAGCCCCCTTATATAAAAACTCCTTTTTAACCACACATTTTCTTATAAAATAATTTTATACGTAAATTCAAAATATTTTCTTACTTGTTAACCACACATTCTCTGAAAAATTACTATTGCAAACAATGGGGCTCAAACACACCCTAGGCTTGTGATAGATTGGCTCAAGTGCAGATTTGCAAGTTCTCTAATTATAAGTTCTTTCATTTGTTCATAAATCAAAATTATAAAGTAATGGTAGTAAATCAATATGGCCTCAACATTATATGTTCTATAAAATGGGTAAATGTTTTCCTTTCACATTTATTTAGCCCATGCTTGAAAACCACTAAAAAGAGTTTGCTTTTTCTTTTTTCTTTTTTCTTTTTTTTTAATGAGTTTTGAAATATGGATTTTTGGAGGACGTGTGGTTAAAAAGTACAAAAAAAGTTTTGGGTTTACGCTAAGAATATTTTATTATGAGAATGTGTAGTTGAAAATTTATTTAAGAAAAAAGGAGTTTTGTTAATTTTTGTCACATTGGGGGTTAGTAAGTTAACAATATGCAAATACCCACACTTAGAACTTAAGCATAAGCATGTACACACACTTTTAACTTGTAAATATATTAGAACATTGAGAAGCTCTCTTTTAATATTTCGTTTTGCCATTATAATCAGCATTTCGGGGCATGAAAAGAAGCTAATCACTGGAAACCTCATTATTTAGATTAACATGCTGAAATTAATTATTAGAGCACCATGTATGTATGCATTTTATACATGCTTGAAAAATTTGTGATGTCTTGATGCAATGTTCTTCTTTGCTAACAGTATCAAAGCCTAGTCTAATTATGGATACCTTGTTTTTTGATATAAGAGGCACAATATATTTTGAGTCCAGCAAACAAAAGGTGTCAATTAATCATGCAATGTATGACTAAGCCTTACACTGAGGATTCATTTTGCTTTGCATCATTCTTTAAGCAGATTTCTTTGTTGTTCTAACAATTTGGGTTGACGAATGCTATGATGCACCGATACAGACACGTGTGTCGGACATACTGTGCTACAGAGGACGAATATTATTGGTAAAGTTATATTGGTTGCTGAAAGCAGTTATACAGAAACACTCTACATCCGAATTATTTGTCATATATTATCTTAACATTATTTTATTTCATGTTTTGATGTGATCTGATGCAAGTTCCATTATCATATTGTATTGCACTCAGAATGTTTTTTTATCAGTTAATTGGTGGATTAGCAAGAGCTGTTCCTGTGATTCTTAGTAGATAATTTGGATGCCATGTCCTATTCAATTACTTACATTCTGACTAAATGCAGTGAGGATGAATTTGACCTGGATCTGGAGGAAATAATGGTTATGGAAGCCATTTGGCAGTCTATTAAGGTAATTATATGACCGATTAACTTTTATCTCACCAGTAGTGTTAGAAAATTGTTGCCTTTAAGCCACCAAGAAGACTATATTGGGCAATCTCTTTTGATTTTGTTAATCTTGGATCTGCTTGTCAAGTAAAAAGGTTCCAAAATGAATAATGAACTGTATGTTGTCTCTGATTTGCATGTTTTGAAGTTTGAGCACATTTGTGTTTGTATCCAAATCAGGGCACCAAGTGTTAACACCTTGAATATAATCCCAAACCATGGAGAAATAGAAGATCTTTCTAAATCCTAGTCATCTCTGTTGCACCAGACTTTTAGGAGTCTTGGGTTTAGGAGAAGCTTGTAAAGTCTTGTTATTAGAGCTAGTTTCCGCCAATGTCTAAAAAAGCTTAATTAGGAGTCTCTCTTTTGGGATTAGGATAAGCTTGTAAAGTCATGTCCTTTTATTTTATTTTCAAATCTATTAGATAATTTGAAGTTACTCCAAGAAAGGGATTGAATGTTTAAATGAGGTGATTATCTACCAGTCGAAGCTATACTAAAGTTGATTGGTTTGGTCGAAGAAGCTCTACTCAACTTAGCAATTTATGACTGTAGTTTTGGTAACATGTAGAATTATAACACGTTTGTGGTTTCTAAGAGCAATTCTGCAGCAGAATTTCTACTTGTAGGATGAGGTATTTGTGATTTTTTTGGTTGAAGATAGCTGGAAGAATGAAGATTTGAAGTATTAGACCTATGAAATTGTTCAGTGATAAGGAGACCACCTAATATATCCCAAAATCAAGTAAAAGATTGTAGAACTAAACATGTTGAGAAGATGGTTGCTTCATCAAGTAAAACTTGGAAGAAAGGTTGACATATTTGCAGTTTACAACCCACAATTAGCATATAATCTCACCATGAATCCTCAAAGGCAGTTGTTTGATTCTTTGTGTAGCAAGCAGGAACAACAGATATTTTTCAATGCCAAAGTGTTAAGAAATAGAAGATATTAGCAGTATCTTTTGGGTTTAGGATAAGCTTCTTCTTTTTTATTTTCTGTTTTCTAGATGACAACCATTGTAGTTAACTTGCGTTTGTACTTCTGCAATGTAATGCTAGTGCAAATGAATGGATCAGAAATATTTATTTTCAGACCTGTGTTGGAAACTGATCAATATTTGTATTGTTTTACGAGATTGTTGTCTAGGTTGATCTTTAATTTTCTCCTCCGGCTTTTTGGTGACATAAATGACTTGTACTACTTTGTTATACAAATGTGGTGGTGATAGGAAACTGGCCAACCCCAAAATTTGCCCTACAGTGACGCAGCTTCATCGGAAGAATATATGATAGACGATCATAGCACCTCAGCAATGATAGCCCCGGTGGCTGGATTATCATCTCCTTCTGGTGGTCTTGCATGTGCCATTGCAGCCCTTGCTGAGCGTCAACAACTGAGCGGAGAGTCCAATAGCTATGGTGGGAACATGCATGGGAATAGCTTGATGCCTGGATGTAGCAGGTTTCCTAATAGGGAGGAGCAAGAATCTGAAAATGATTTTCCTGCAGAGAGTGCTGTTGTGGAATCACTTGATATCCAGCTGGCGATGACCCAGGATGCTGGAGAATGGGACGAAAATAGATCTGAGGTGGCTGAAGTTGGAACCAGCTATTCGGGTTCTCATGAATTGAATGATGCAGGAAGGCCTGATGCACTCCACCAAGTTGATGAAAATGAGCGCACCTTCCAGCGCGTAGTTCCCGAGAGCTATGAGGAGCAGATGATACGAGCCATGACTGTATCGCTGACTGATGCTCAATCTAGGGCAAGTGCAACGGGAGTTGCATGGCATTAAGTGTTGTTGGATAAGGTATTACGAAATCGTTCATTTATCCCTCGTTTCTAGACCAACCGTCCTCCCCTCCGAAACTCAAAAAATAGGAAAAAATGTCATCTTCTTTATATATATAGGTGTAAAAGGGGAGAAAAATGATTCTAGTGAATGAAAGGTGTTTGTTGATTCCATTTCCGAATACTTGTGTGGCTGTATAAAGTGTAGTGGTGGTAGTCTGCCTAATACCAGTTTAGAATAACATGCATGCACTGTCTTCAAAAATTGTCGATGATGGATAATTATTTAAAATGCTCTCGACAGGAAAGCTTCCTTCACCTTCTTGAATTGTCAGGAGACTCGAATGCACAGATAAGTACAATCTCTCTATTCAGTTTGAAGTACACAAGAATTTGATAATTTTAGACAATTTCAATCTCTTAACACTGGTATTGTACCCAAAAAAAAAAAAAAAACATATCAAGAATGACAGTACGCAATGGTGACATCTTTTCCAACAAGATTAACCTGCCAAGTCAAGCAATGCAAATAAGAAAAAGAAATCAATTGCATGAGATATTGATTCTTTTTGAAGAAAACCCACCGACTCAGGAAAAAAATTACGAGATTGAAGTCTAATTTCAAATTCAACTATATCACATGTGATATGATTATAAAGCTCTCTTTAAGTGATACGTACCAAGACATGGAAGAGAGTAGCATATTCTAAGATTAAATTTTGAACAAGAAATGGATAAATTGTCTAAGCATACGAGATTACAAAAATAAAAAGAATAATAAAAATAATAAGTCTAACGCTAGCTTATCATCACGTTGATGTATCCTTATGTTGGAGTGTTTTTGGAAGTCCCAACTAAAAAATTAACTTGTTATTAATTTATAATTATAAATTTTGTTTTTGAATTAACTAAAGTTGTTTTATATGTACAACTAATGGCATATGTTTATAATTTCCAAGTAGTGTGTGTGTGTGTGTGTGTGTGAGAGAGAGAGAGAGAGAGAGAGAGAGAGAGAGAGAGAGTGATGTTAGTTTTCTTTAACCAATAAAAAATTCAAACTTATTTACTTTAAATTTCGTTTAGAAAAAAATATTTAAATTTCAAGATGGTTTCAATATGTTAATGCTATGATTTCTTACATATTATTAATGGTTGAGATTTGAGTCCTACTTCAGCATAAAATAAATAAATTAGTTAAATGGATATTCATTGTTTGAGTTTTCTTGATTTACGTATTTGCACGATTGAAAGACTTTGTTAAAATGATCTGAATTGTCTAAGAGACAAGCCTGTGATTTAAGCGGTCATCTTGTGACTTCCCTTATCATTTAAAAGTCATTTTAGTTGCTCGTATTCAAATCAACAAGACTAAAAGTAATATTGCAAACCCACTTCAAAAAATAAAATAAAATTGTAAAGCCCATTTACCCAAATTTATTGGAAGCAGTAAGAATATATTGAATAGTGACAACATTATATATATTCTAGTATTCTATCATTGTCAGCTATATCGGGTTAGTTGGATTAACTTGAATGGCATCTAGTATACGATCCCCATATTTAAGGATTAGATGACATCTAAATTAGCACAAGAATTACCGGCTACTATGAGAGATATCGCAGCAACAACCACCTCAACAACCGCGAGGCAGGTTTGGATCGTCTTCGATTATAAAATAGTTTCGCAAGATGCATATGTGTTTAAAGGTGGCTCTGATCCACTCGCTATTGAAGAATGGCTCGGCCATCTTAAACGTATCTTCTGATTTATGGAATGCACTGACGTACAGAAAATCCTTTTTGCAGTATTTATGATGGAGAAATGAGTAAGTTATTGGTAGGAGATGACTACTAGATCCAGCAACGAAGAGCAATAGTGCAACCTTACATGGACACAATTTAAAGTGATAGTGCTTCAAAGGTACTTTCCAACTACTTTAAGAGACAAGATGTAACGCCTCGAAATCTTTTTCATTTTCATTATCTAATCTAAGAGGAAATATCACTTTCATTAAGTGTTGAAAATGCATAAAAATAACTATTAAACAATGTGCACAAATTTCAATATGAAGATGTTCTTCAAATAAAAGTTGGACAATTATATTTTCTTGAAAATTTACTTGGCGGCCCTATAAGCATCATTCGTTCAATCTTCTACGTGTCCAAACAACCCGTTCTCATTTGAAAGGTACTGTAAGAGTGAGTATTTTGAAAACACTCGGTAAGAATACGTACACATTCTTATTCACATGATATAAATATAAAACCGACATAATATACCAACATTTCTTATATTTAGAGCTTAAGAATCCTCACATCCCGTAGGATTTAACATATTTGACCAAACGGTCCACTCCGTAGGATTTAACATCTTTGACCTAACGGTCCATCCCGCAAGATTTAACATAGAGTTCGATCCGAAAGCCTCATAGTATTTTTGTAACATCCCAAAATATATATATATATATATTTTTTTTTTTTTGATAAAAATTTATTTAATATCTATATTATATTATTTCAAAAGTTGAGGGACTAAGAGGTAATATATTTTAAATTCTTATACTTTGAGTCAAATAATTAAATTTCGATAGAGTAAATATAAGTATATTAATATTATACTCGTTGGATAGCCAGTAATTAATTATGAATTTTAGGCTCGAGAAATAGTCGATTTGGATAACCCAGCACCAAGAAATTTCGATTTGAAGAAATTGGTTTTCAAATTCAATTAAAACTTGGAAGGAAGATGTGATGTTGACACGTGTATATGGAATTGTCTTGATTTTATATGGTGTACGTATGGAAATGGTTGTGAATAAAAAGAAGTAGGTTTATTTTAATAATTATTTGCTTTGATTTTGGAAAAAAAGAAGGGTAGGTTTCCTTGATTTTAGGGATTGATTATTTAAGTATTATTTAATCACTTGACTTTATGAGTTGATAGACTCCACGTGATGTTTAGATAAGGGAAAAATAACTGTAGATTATACTGGATTGAGGCATTTTACGGGAAAAGCCGTCATGGAATAATGAAACAAGATTAACTAGAATTAAGAACTAATATAATTCCCTTTAATTAAATATTCTAGGCAGTGCTGACTAATTAGGCTACCTCTTGTTTAAACATAATATTTATTAAAATAAGATAGAATTTTAATTATTTTGGAGCATTTATTTTGGAAGATAAACTATATTATAATAGATAAGTGATGGCAAATAAATTTTCTATTTGCAAATATAGTATTGTAGATAGTCTCAAACTCATTTGAATTTAGATGATTTTTCAAAACAGCCATGTATGTGTACAAAGAATGAATATATTAAACAAAGTCAAAAGCTAGCTGCCGATTTCATAATTTATGATAGAAGATATCTTTGATGTAATCATATTAGAGTTTGAAAAGTTGATGTCTCATTTAGCTATCATGTTTCTTCACGTTGGCATGCATTGGATAACAAACCAACTCTCTATTTTCTTTTTGATAACAACAAAAGGCCTAGTACAAATCAAGTAAAAATCTTTTGGTTAGGATAAGACCTATCTTCTACTCTAGTCTACACCTATAAATAGTAGGCTAGAATCCCACATTTTACCACACCAAAAATTCACACGTGAAATAGAGAAAGAGAAAGATAAAAGAGAGAGAGAGAGAGAGAGAG